CTATTCTGTTGGGTCTTGAAAACCTCCTACAATGGAAATGCCACAATTTCTTCAGTTTCTTGCCCCAATGCTCGCTTAGCTGCAAAACAATTCGTGCCCCGCCAGTTGGAACCTCGTTTCAAATCATGACCGCTGAGTCCCGTTTTCCTGTTACGCACTTCAGTAAAAAGCCCTTCTCTCTTCTTGGTACCCTCCACTTAGCTGGTGGAAGGTTGCTACTAGGTGCCCCTACGCTTTCTTAATTAATGCCAACTTTTGAGAGGAAGAAATATTGGAGTAATTTTAAGGACAACCAATGAGCAGCGAGGCTATCAGGTGGTGAACGGTGTGTGATGACAACTTTCACAGACTTTTTGGGAATATTTGAGATGCTGGTGTAGGCACCTGTGCAAGTGAATTAATTCCCTTCAGACCCTGCATCAGCCATTTCTGGTGTAGGTTTAGAAGTGCAAAGTCAGTCCAACAGGATTCTCACAGACCCCTCACTAAAGACTTGAATAGAAGTTAAAACTGAATTTGGATGAACAGCAAAACACATAATTTTTTGTAACTAGAGCACTGGGTTAAATCTGAATTCCCTGCTCACATTTCTGATGCAGACGATCTCCCCCTAGGAACCTTTATAGACTTAGGTGACATCAATCTGCACATCCATAATTACAGTCTACACGCTATTACAAGGCAGCCTGGCACAAAAGCTCGTGCAGCCCTGGGAGATTCATCACAGCAAATGCAAATCTCTTCATAGATAAGACACAGCTCCCTCCAAATATAGACTAGCTCACACCCTTGCTAATAACAGGCTATACTTCTCTTCAGCAAGATTACCTAAAATTAATGAGCAGATCCCATGAGAATATCGGCAATACGCTATACTTTGAGGTACATACATTCTGGGATTGCTGCAAAGTCAGAGACTCTGGACAAATAAAAACGATGTCTAGGGAAGGACAAAAATCAACATAAACTGAATGTCTTTCTCCATTTTATGTAGTTAGACATGCAAAATGTAAAAGCAAAACCATAGTAGTACCTTAACCATTATACAAACATCACTTCTTTTCCCTCAGAAAAAGCGTTCCAAATACCAGACAAGTACCAACTATCCATCTAACAAGAAGGTACGTAAATAACGCTGCCAGGTATTGTGAAATAAGGCATGAGAGCGAAACCCATGCTTTACAGCTGTACGTCTTTATCCCAGTTAAGGCAGAATAAATCTTTATTGAAAAGATAATTATTTTTAATATGGTTGATTAAAAGTTTTGATCAAGAATGAGGACTTCATATGTAACACCTCTGAAATGCAGCTATTCCTGAAGACGGGAAGCTGTGGCGGAATGGGAAATTGTGGCAGAACCTATGTTTCCACACAACTGCAGTGACGCCGGCAGCGGTTCCCGTATAACCCGGTGTTTTTCAAGAGTTCAGAAGGGTTTGCCGACACCGTGCGGGCCGCCAGCTGGGCCCAGTGGGTTGTGTCCCCCCCATGCTGCCCTCGGGCCGGAGGGCGATACCTGCATGGAGGGACCCCCCCCGCTGAGCAGGGCCCTCCAGCCGGCGCGCA